GCTCAAAAATAGTGACTAGCCCCCCTATTTTCCCCAGCCCCCCCCCCTCCTCATTTTACTTTATGACCGGTCCCTTAGTCTTTTTTGGATCTCTTATGCTTCCACTTCTTGACAGGCGCGAAATATCAATAATCAAAAGTTTGTTTTTGTAAAGTGGAAACACGTCATGAATTATGAATTCTTATCATTTGGGCGCCATATTTCATACAGACGTCGTTAACAGTGAACTGTGTCTCTGAATATTCTCGTTTTTATGATTAAAAAATCTCTAAGAACCGAAGTATTATCAAGATCCAACAAAGAAAGATTCGAGGGAACAATTGGGTGATATTTTTAATCGAAATTTGACCGCTCGGTGACTGTACAACGGAAAAATCAAAAGCTGCAACCATGTTTATTAAATGTGAATTTTGTAACAAGATATTTTCAAAGAAAAGGTATTTGGTGAGACATAAAACAACACACACTGGAGACAGGCCTTATGAATGTGATGTTTGTAACAAAAGATTTTTGCGATCCGGTGACTTGTCTAGACATAGAAGAACACATAGTGGAGACAAACCTTATGAATGCGATGTTTGCAACAAACGATTTTCCCAATCGAGCAACTTGGCTAGACATCAAAGAACACACACTGGAGATAAACCTTATGAATGCGATATTTGCAAGAGAAAATTTTCAGAATCATCCAAGTTAACACGACATAGAACAGCACTGCACAAGAGTGACCAGAATTTCGAATGTGCTATATGCAAGAAAATATTTACACAACCACAAAATCTCAAACGCCACATGAGAACACACTTAACTGTTACTGTGCAACACTTGTGGCAGAGAAATTATTCAATTGCAAGGACATGTAAATGAAATTATGAGTGGTGAACATTTTGCATGTGATAATTGCTACAAACAATTATGTGATCTTCAAAGTTTAACACAAGACTTATTTAACCCATTGAGTGGCAGCACTCTCCACTTGACGAGTAAAATTGTCTGGCATTAGACAGAGTAAGTACTAAAGTAGGGTGCATTGCCACTTAAAGGGTTAATATTAATCTGTATTGATGTTTATTTAAACTTTGAAGCTCACATAATGATCATGGTACGTCCTACTAATGTGATGTCTGTAAGGAATTAGAAGCATTTGTTGTATCTGTGATGCCGAGTTTGAAATTGCCACTGCACTTGGAAATCACATGAGTATGCATGAGAATGTGCTGCTCCACTAAGGGCTGTTTATATGGAGGCAAGCTAGCCTTGGTACCCAAGCTGGCCCGGTTTAGGTGAGATCCGCCTGCATTATTATTTCCCACTAAATTTAATTTTCTGTATATTTGGGAACCAAGCTGGGCTGCCATAGTGAGATTCTGCCTTTACTGACCCGAGATCTCTGGTGACCGGACTGGGGAATTTTCCATATAAACACAATTACCCGGGCTGGCTTAAGCTTGCTGAGTGTTATTAATCACTCTGTTCCCCTGCATATCTTGTTGTACATAAGATTGTCTCGACAAGATCTCTGCAAACGATTTTGTGGATTATTACCATGAAAGTTGCTAGCGAAAGTGCAAATTTCAGGTTTGAGAGAATATATTTATATTACAGTGTACCATTTATAGTGGTGAGACCAGTGCATAGATATCTTATATACACTAGATAGTGCATCTAATTATTCTGCAATTCAAAAATTGAAGCTGTGATTCCAAATACATTTTCAAACTATTCAAATAATGAAAGTTATTGTTGTTTTATAAGCGTTTATTAGCGAGTGGGAAACTCCAACATGGCCGCCATCTATACAAATGGGGGTAACCGCTGGGATATTCTTGGCTTCAATTTTACTAAAAAAGATGCGCTATCTAGTTTATATAAGATATCTATATTGACCAGTGGCAGTCTCATGTAGACACAGGGTAAAATCAGTCTCTACAAAGCGAGCTAGCTTGGATACCCAGGCTGGTTCGCCTCCATATAAACAGCCCTAAGCATGCAAGATAGATTGAAAATATTTTTGGTGATACAGTACGTTCAGTGGCGTAGCCAGCCCGACAAGTTGGTCATGCTATGCAATTGTCAAATCATTGTTCGTTTCTTTAGAAATCGATTGTTTTCACGGTCTATGAACATGGGAATATTTGCATAGCATGACCAAATTGTCAGGCTGGCTATGCCACTGAGTACGTTGTTTTGAAATGTCTCTTGAAATTGATATGGGTTGTGTGAAATTGATTGATTTGTTTTGAGATATTTTGAAATTTCTTTTGATACAGTAATGTACTAATGCAGTGGAACTGTTCAATATGGAAAAAGATATTGATATTTTGGTGATGATTGCTTTGTGGTTCAGTGATGCAATTATAAACTAAGATCATTCTGTAAGTATTTTTTGTTTTGGGTTAGACGCTTGTTATTGTGGATATTTCTTAGTGTCATAAAATGTGTTTAGAACATTTTTTACATCTTAGAAGGGTTTGGTAGATGGAAATTTCGAGTGTGAATTTTATACATCTTATTACGACCTAACAGGAGCAGTTGCAAAAAGTGCAACTGTAGACCCCTCTGGCAGGAATTAAATCTGGGGACCTGCGATTCCTGTACAGCAGTCTAATAAATATATAAAATCCACGCTCGAAATTTCCATCTACAAAACCCTTCTACAATTAGTTATATGAAGTGTAGACGCTCGAAATCCTGATATATTTATTACATTTTACTTCATTTTGTCATTGCCAATATTATACTGTATATATTTTGGAATTGGCTATATCGACAACAATTAGCAACTTAAGCCCTGTTTACACTACGCTCGATTTTAGGTAGTCCAAGAACCAAAAAAGTTGTACGGGTACCAATTTTATCCGTGCCGTACCAAAAATTGAGCGTAGTGTAAACGGGGCTTTAGTCTAGTGTGTCACCATAATTCTATTAAGCCGCTCTAAAACAAGCTCCGCTCTTCCTGATGAATAGAAAATATGTGTGCTTGTTCTGACTTAGTTATCCTAGTCTCCATTATTTGTTTGCTCCCATGAGAGGGGGTGTGGGGTGTGAGACTAGCCCTTCCACCCTGGCAATTGGGTCCCCATTCGAAACATTCTGACCAGTGCAAGCATGTACATTATATTTTCATTTCTTGTAAATGGAAATTTTATATCTTCCTACGTTTTAAATGTTCTGGTTGAGTTGGTATGTATTTACCCAGCTGGTAGTGGTTTCTGAGCTGAGGAGAAACCACTGCGAGCAAACGAACGACTTTCTATCGAGCATGCGCGAAGATCACGTGATGGGAAGTCGCTAATTTGACTTCATTTCCTGTCGTTTGTTATCTGTAAAGAAGCGTGGGATAGTACTGTTTTATTTCAGAGGTTTTATTTGTTGTCTGTCAGTTTTAATCGAACGACTTTTTAATTCTACACGCAGTTCACAATTTATGAATTTGTTTTAATCTCGTTATTGCCAGTACTAAAATATTTTGAAATCGGTGTCTCGCCCTACGGCTACAATTCAAATTGTGCTTTTGAATTTCTGTTATATATCTTTTTAAAATTTTGTATTTATTTTTTTAATTCGGTCTACGAACTTTATTTGTGTTGCTTAAACGTTGGAGATTGTGTTAAAGTTTTCGTTAAATTCCAGTTCCTAAAGTTTCCAAGTAATATAATAACGTTTCCAATTACTGTTGATTTTGACAGTTATTGCAATTTTTGATCCTCAACCACTACAAATTTCAACCGATCAAAGGACAAAGATCGTCGCGACGGCGCTACTGATTTCTGTAATAGGTTGATTTTAGTTGCAGTGTATAGTTATTCTGTCGAACGCTAGGCGGTTTTCAAGTCATCTTAATGTATAATTTCTCACATTTTATTCAATATTTTGTAAAAGCCGTTATAATATTTTGTAGTATATTTATAGCGTGTTACTATATTTAGAGCGTGATGTTGTTTTTCAAGTGTACAACTGATTCGCATTTTACCAGCAGTGGCAAGCATTTATTTTTTTATTATTTTTTTTTTATTAGTTTTACAATAAGAAATTGAAGGCACAGACAACAGGACTAATATTAATAAAGTCCCAAATTAAGTCCTGCCATTTACCCATGCGCGCAACACAAAAACTTGTCAAACTTCTTTTACCGTTTGAGAATTTAATGTATTTGTCCGTGAATCTGGACGGCGGCTACATGAAACGATCGTTCGTTTGCTCGCAGTGGTTTCTCCTCAGCTCAGAAACCACTGCCAGCAGGGTAGTATGTGTTAAATGGTCATTTAAAATCACCAAAACGCATTCAAATAGCAAAATGGATTTATCGACTGTAGAATTTAAAAATTTAGGAGCCCCCGGACCCCCTAAACTTTCATAGTACTATATTATGCATGGATAGCGTTGGAGTGCGAATACATTTTCACAGCGAAGGGGTAAAATTGACTAGAAATCCTAGCTATGTCACTGGCTCGCATATAAGTGTCAATATGTTTGAAGTTGACCAGCGTTTGTACCACTATATATTGGTGGTTTTCATTAAGTTTGACAGTGCAGCACATGGTGGTCAACTCTAAAAGGAAAGACAGAGTGACTAAGGCGTGATTCGATTATTAATAATATTACGTAAAAATATTACTCAACTGTGATTGGTTGGTTTCAGTGTAGTTAATCCCAAACATTTCCTGATGATGGCTGAAACCTAGTCGAAACGTTGACTAAAATGTTAACGAGAGTCTCTATTGTTTTGTTCTTTTATAATCCCAAACGTACAGCAGTGCAATTTTGTTTAATCACAGCGAAATTTTCTGTAATTACAGTGCAAAAATCTGTAACAAACTGATCTGATTGATGGAAAAACAATCTGATGTTAAAATCAACCAATCGGTTTAAAGCAGTTTAGTTTAAAGAAAGAACGGTCACAGATTGCTTCAAAACGAAACAAACACGCCGCCGCGCCACATAAAGACTTCGGTTGGAAATAAGGCTTTTTTCTTTTTTTTAAATGCCTTTACCTTAAACAAGACTAACACATAGTTGAGCGGAATTTTCAAGCTGTTGGCGTTGTATAATGCGATATAACAAAGCCAGGAAGACTTTACCAGTGCTAGTGGAATGTTCGCTATAAATGTATGTTAAAACTACAATTGTCTCGAACATTTTTTATGTAAATTATTAATAAGTAATAGCATGGTTTCTCGTGAAATTTGGACAAACATGCACTCGTGAGTTTTTCAAAGACCTCAAATACTGTAGCACTCGTCCTTCGGACTCGTGCTATTTTGAGGTCTTTGAAAAACTCACTCGTGCAGGTTATATCCAAATTGCACTCGAAACCATGCTATCATACCTATACTAATTTGATTGGACACTTTGAATTTGAGGTATAATATGAATTGAAACTCACCATACCTGCTGACCACTTTTAATTAGGTAAGGTCATTGTGATTTTAATTAACCACGAAAATCGCAGATTGTTTCAATGATATATTTATTTATTGTCTATCGAATCTACTGTGCTGTATGTTTACATGGGTTAATATATTTCCAGCCCAATTTAAAATTTCGAAAAGCTATAACAAATTGGAACCAAATGACTCGAATTCGATTACGGCGGTTACGCTTGCTTATTTTATGATTATTTTATCATACATTAGAAAAAATTATGCTATAAATTATACAATATTAGATCATGCTGAAATTTGCCATCCTCTTCTTCGATCATTACCAATCATTAAACGTACGCCTGCTACTGCGTTATGACTACTAGAAACTTTATAGGCAGAATGAATCAGATGTTAATAGTTCAATGATTTAAAAAGTGTGTTGAAATGTTCCATGTTTACCATCGCTGATCCGTAATGTAGACGTATATTAATTGGTATTGGATTGTGTAAAAAATGAAGCAAGTTGTTAGATTATTATACTGTAGATTATAATTATTACAAATGTCAAAAGAGTGGGGGTACGTATTCTCCCTTGCTTAAATGGCGCCATGTCCGTAAAACCTACTGTATTACGCGACACGTAAAGTAATTAAACGTGGCACGTTTGATATGTTGTGTCTTGATAATTTGCTAGAAATTTTATCGTGATTTGTCCATTTAATAATTGTTGTCCGTGGCTTCGTTATATTCATCATAAATAGCCACTTGGTCCCGTGTGTGACCACTGGTCCAACATATATTTTAAACATTAACGCATAAGAAGTCTTGCTCAGTAACAAGGTTACTGTCCGTATTAGATATTAAACGAGTAGGCAACGATGAAACTTCGCTTGAAAGACCTGCTTTATTTGTTGCTTCTACTGTTGCAAAGATTGTTTCTCCCAGAGACAGACCATATTTTTCGCCAAGATCAAACTTTGCATCTGAGACAATACCGACATATGTATAGGGAATGATATCGTATCCAAGTGGTCTTCGTCCAATAGCAACGCGATATCCGGCGATGCTTGACTCTTTGTCTTGAAATTCGGACCAGTAAACCCGCAATGTCGTATTCAAAAAGTGACAGCCAACATGCTGACGCTGAACATCATGATTTCGATTAGGACTTATGATCACAAAACCCTAAATTGAATAATATTATTTAATGTAATTTTATAAAATGGCAGCATTCGAGCCCTTGTAAAGAATTCGAATGTGAAGAAATTATTACAATCCTTGTATTATGGCTTCATTTTTATTAAAACAGTCATCAAACACCAGGCAATTACTGTAACATCGCTGAAAAGTAAAAAATGGCATGTTAATGTTAAAACAGTATTGTAAAATTATACTTTTGACACAAGAAAGAAAATATGAAGCGGGCAAAAGGAAATAAAACTCTGCCAAGAATATCCGCCTGTGCCGTTTGCAGCGTGCTTTCAAACATGTAAATCTAAACTCAGTTTTTCCTAGCCACATGCAGGGCGTCGAAGATGTGATTTTTAGATATTCGGTATATGTATCACTACGGTCACGTCTTACCTTTTCTGGTGGCACATTATCAATTCGTATTGGTGGCGAGAAAACATCCAAACTTCGCTCTCCCACGGTATTATAACACGCAACAGTAATTTTATAACTTTCACCATGTTGGAATATTAAATCATTGGCTTCTATTTGGTTTTCATTTGTCGTAGGTTGAACATGCAAAACTGTTTCTTCATTTACGGTTTTAATGCTAAATTCACAAATTCCCACACCACTTTCTTCATCTTTAAATCCACTAAATTCTGCGGTCAGACCGCAACGACCAATACAAGACATATACGTTTTATTTAATGATACTTTGCCTCCAACTGGTGCCGTCAAATCTACTGTAATTCCTTCTGATGTAGCCAGGTTAAACAAACCCGCTTTATTCCAGACTCGAAAAGTCATGAAATAAGTGTAGTCGTGCTTCAGTTTGCAATCAAGGCAGGTTACGTTCATTTGTTTGTCCAATGCAAGATGCATGTCTTGTACATTGCACCCTCCTCTAGTTGTACCAAAACAATATTCAGCAAAGTCGATATTGCTTTCCTCGTCGAATGTTTTCCAATTTCCACTTAGATTATCTTTAGGACCCATATATCCGGTTCCAGACCGTTGAAGTTTTATCTGAAAAATATTGGTAATACACTGAAAATCATCAATGGATATTTCCAAATACAAGTTTTAAAAAACCCCTTCATGCTTATAATTATCTTAATCCTGTAGTAAAACAAATCACACAATGTTATCAATTGGCGGCCTGATTATTTTTTAAATTAACCCAATGTATTGCAATATCAGTACCTAAAGTGATATATATGTAATAATATCTATAGATTGATAGTATTACCTCTTTTATTTCCGGTGGAGTCGTGTCAACTGTTATGCCAGTTGAAGAAACACGTGACGTCACGCCAGCTTTATTCACAATTTGCAAAGTAATGTAATAAGTTGAACCAGAGGTCATGGTAAGATTTTTAATATTTATTTCTCTTGCTAATCCAATTGAAAAGAATTCGCGTATGTCGTCCTCATTTGACCCAGATCCCACGGCTATTAAATACTCCATTATGCCACTTTCAAGATCGTATCCATCGGTCCAACGGACGTGAATCTCACTTGTGGATGATTGATATTGGTTTTCAAAGGGTTGGGAATTTTTGTCAAGTATTGTGCCCGGGATAGGAGGGGAGTCGTCGACGATAACACCATTAGAAGATTCTGAAGATCTAAATCCGTCAAAATTTTCACACGTTATGGTAGAAACGTACTGAAGGCCTGATATCATAACAAAATCATGGATTATGGAGCCAGTCGTATTAACGTCCACCCTTACTTTCATCGTTATAGACTCGGTCTTAATGGGGTTTTCTTCATTGATAGTTAAAGTGCATTTCTCAATTCCAGTCTCGGGGTCTGTGAACGCGGACCATGTCGCCGCTAAAGTAACGCTAGAATTGATATAGTCCAGGTCAATATTAACTCCATCAAGCACACTTCCAGTTACGGGAGGGGTGAAGTCAATTTTGACAGCATTTGAACTAACGATTGTTTTCAGACCTGCTGCATTTGTTACAATGACAATACCGTAGAATGAATTATCTTGGACTTCAGGAAGAAAACTCCGCACTGTGCCCTGAAAAGCCAGCCCTGCATTGAAGACAGTTGTCGAGCAAACATCGTAAATGTAACCCAAACAATATGCATAGTTGGCAATTCCTGTCTCGGAATCAGCAAAGCCTTCCCACGATATTCTATACTCAACATCATTGGTGTGCTGGTTTAAAATATGATGATCTACCTTCACAATACCAGCAGTCGGAGAAGTTGTATCGACGACAAAGCCGTTTGAAGTTTTGTTGCTGTTCCATCCGCTCAAAGTGGTTCCCCGCACAGTTATGTAGTATTCAACCCCCGTCTTTAATATGATATCGCTTTCTGACAATGATAATGCAACTTTTGTATCAAGTTCTACGTCTGTAAATTCTAGGGTGTCGTCAACTTGCCCAAACGTACCAACAGCCCACTCGTACTTTATTATAGGGTCTTTTGAATCAGCCTGGAATGCGCCCCATGAGGCGTGAAGATTTTCCCCATTTACGTCATATTTCATGTCATGTGGTCCCGGGCCATCTATGATGTATGACGGAATAGGCCATTGTTCAACCACAGACCAGCCATTGGAATACTGATCAATAGTGATCCCTGCATGGTTCCAACATTGGATGACGTTAAAATATGAAGAGTTTGTCGAAAGTGTAAGCGGGTCAGTAGCTCTTTCGGTATGGCGTATGTTGTAAGTTATTTCAGCTTTATGAAGCGTCTTCACATAGACGCTGATAGTTGTGTTTCCATCTTTCTTTACAATCATCCACTGGCAATTGCGTAAGCCACTTTGTACATCTCGTGCTCCGTGCCACGTGACAGTTGGTGTCCAATTACTGTACGTCTTTTCCACGTCAGGATAATCCGCCTTTTTACCATCATAAACGAATTGTATATCGGGAGGAGTGGAGTCAACTGTAACACCATCGGAGACAAATATCGTGAACAAACCTGCTCCGTTTGTTACACGAAATGTGGCAAAAGCTGTCATTCCATGATCTATTTTGCAATCCGTACAAACAAACGACATATTTTGACCGAGTGATGTGAAAGGTTTTATGAAGCAGTTAAATGGCGTGCTACCAACACAATACTCAATTTTGCTTATTCTACTTTCTAAGTCCTCGATACCTTGCAAGGTAGCAGAAACAGTGTTTCCTGACGACAGATAGTCGATATCTTCGTGTAATAAACCGTCTCTGACACATCCGTTATATCCAGTAGGCGGACTCTGGTCAAAAGTGATTTCCTCTAACGACAGCGAAGTCTCGAGGCCGGCCATGTTGTAAGCGTTGACGGTTACATAAAACGTCTGATTGTCTGTAATCTCTAAACTACGAAAACTGAAATGTTTACGTAAACCAGTTTTAGTAAACTTGAATATATCATCACCGGATTTCTGTCTTCCGATACCAATTTCATAAAATTCGACGGGACTTTCGTGATCTTCGAAGGCTGCCCAAGCAACTTCTAATAAATTTGAATCTGGCAAAAAATAGCGCTTTGGTAGGTCGTTTGCGTTTCCGGTGTAGGCAGGTGGTGTATTATCGATGATAAACGGTGTTGAAGTCGCAAATGATTCGAGGCCTGCGTAATTTATGGATTTCACAACAATCCTATAGTCATTTCTCGGAGACAGAAAACCTGTATCTATGAGTATTTCCAGTTCGGCATCAATAGATGTCCGAGAATAATTTGAAATCTCTCTGTTATTATGTACCACTGAAATGTCGTACTTTTCTATTCCGCTTTCCGGATCTTCGAATCCTGACCAACTGACGTGGATATTATTGTCTGACCTGAAATAATCCTTCCGGATTCCAGAAGGTGATTTTATACGGATATTCCCTGTACGAGGCGCGCTGTAATCAACAAGGAAAGGCCATGAACAGTTACCTGAAACGAGGTCAACTCGATTTCTTCCAATCACAGTGACAAAATAACGAATCCCCGGACGGATATTTAGTCCATTCCCGGAGGTATTAGCATTTGTGACTAAGCCGATATTTATCAATGGTTGAAGTTGGGTGCCGTATTTCGATGTCCCTATCGCCCACTTGTAGTACCATATTTCACTTTCCAGTTCTTCAAAGTTCTTCCATGTAACGTAAATATCTGACGCACTAGATGAATAATATGTTGCAGTTTGTTCAGAAAAACGCCATTCCAATGGAGATAACCTTGGTATAATTTCACTTGGAACTGGTGGTGTTGTATCAATAATGACGCCATTGGATGATATTTTTTTCAATACACCAGCTCTGTTATAGACTCTCAGGAATATAGTATAATTGTTGCCATGTTTTAGCTGTAGAGGTTTCTTCGATGTAACGTGAGTCTGAAGTCCAACATCAACAAATTCTTGAACAAGACCTTCTTCCCCCGAAATCCCCCATTCAAATCTTTTTACCCTGCTTTCCAAATCCCAAATTCGTTCCCAGTTTCCACTCAACTTATTTGTAGTCGCCTGATAGCGAATATCTGGTTCAAGTATCCCGTCATGTACGACGCCAGACGTTGGAGGTGTCGGATCGATGAGGACGCCATCTGAAGCCAAACACGACTTTAATCCTGCGTTATTTATGGCACATAGTATAATGTAATACACTTCATTGTTAAGACTCAGTGCAGTTACTGTAGAGTACGTATTGCGGCTAGCGTCTATGAATGACGTTACATCCGGTTGGCCTGCTCTGTTGCGACTGACAGCGACCTCAAAGTGTTGTATGCCAGATTCATGGTCTTGAATTCCGGTCCATGTAGCGGATAACTCCGCACTATCTGACTGGTGATCTATATCGTCTTCTCCCTGTCCGTCGAACACCATCGCATGCCTCAGATCAGGAGGGGAGACATCCACAATAAATCCATTTGAAGAGACTACGTCACTCTCAACAGCTGCAAAATTTTCTGCCTTTATTTTGACACAATATCGCTGACCGTTCACGAGGTGCAGACCTTGAATTCCAAATGAGGTTGCTGTTGGCGGTGTAACTGGCATGAACTGGTTGTTAGTCACATGGTAATTACCTTTCGTGCAGCTACCTATTGCAAAGAAATAAGCTCGAATTGTTCCATCATGTGTTTCAAAGCCTTCCCAAGTCGCGTGAACTTCGGATGTGTTTGTTAGGTAATCGATGTCAGTCAATGGGTCGTGACCGTCGGAGACCGTCCCAAGTCCAGATATTGCTCCGATAGGGATTATTATAGGTGATATGATAGGTGTGTGCAGATCAGCGTTGTTGATACCGCGAATGGTTAGTCGATATTCAGTGTTTTTGGTTAGTGAGAGAGGTCTAAAAAAGCATTGCAATAATAATCATTGTCTTAAATAAAGGTTGGTTTACAGTAAGACTATCAAAGTTTCTGTGATTACAGTATGAATTTTGCATAGGTAAATTTTTAGTTTTGAAGGATGTGTAAGAAATATTTGAGGGAACTGACTTAGTGTTGTTACTTTAAGTAACAATGTGATGTTTAAACTTCTGCCACCTATTATAAGAAAGTGGTTAATGAGAATTTTAACTTTGGGGAACCTGTATTAAGCTGTTTTTAAACATTGTAAAGTCTTCTTGTATAATATTTTTTAGTTGTACAAAATATTTCAAGATGCAAAGAAAGTCAGAATCCGCGTTTGATCACCCTATTTCTTAGGCCTTTAATTTAGCTTTTCTGCCAAGTTTTAACTCGATGCTGCACTGCGATTCGCAACGCAAAACGATGCTAAAGCATTTTGAGTCGTGATGTGGATCATGAAAGTTTCAGTTTTAACAATTTAATACGAAATTGCATGTAGCTTACCCTTTGGAAATAGTTACATGCAGTATTGCCTTTACGCTTACCGAAACACTGCTCTTGTCGCAAGATTAATTCCTGGCACGTCTTTCCATTCTGTTGGTTGTTCGTGATTTTTAAAAATACTCCATTGGTATTTCTTCATTCCACTGTGGGCGTCCACAAACTGAGGCCAAGAAGCTGTTATGGACTCATTAATCTGAATGTAAACAACTGACTCGTTGCCTTTTTGTGCCGTTTCGCCTTGAACGACTATTTTGCCAGTATAAACTGGATGAGTTGTGTCAATGTACACTCCATCTGATTGCATTTCTTTGCCATGTCCCACTCTGTCGATTGCTCGAACTGTCATGTAATAAGTATTACCGTCTACGAGACTTATCCCTGAGATTGAAACATTCGTTTGTAAGCCCGCGGAGGTCCATGATGTGACATTCACGTCATTTTGATCTGTTAGTATGTATTTGTAGTCTGCGAGTCCGCTACCATGAGTGCCGTCGTCAAATCCGTTCCAGTTGGCGTGGAATACTGTATTACCCGACTGATAGTCAATATCGTCAGACAAGCCATCATTAATAGCTCCATGTCTTGGAGCGTCGTGATCAATGAGCAAACAGTTTGAAAAAGCTTGAGCTTTTAGTCCAGCAGCGTTTTCGCCTTCGACGATGGCACAATATTCTTCTTCCGAGACAATAGGTAAGCCTGTAACTACAGACTGGTATATTATACCGACCGATGTTAATCCTGCTGATACAAAGCCACCATTCTTTCGCTTAACACCGATCTTGTAGTTCACAATAGGCGTATGAGGATCTGTGAACTTTTCCCAACTTATAGTGTAGCTGGAAGTCCAATCAGCATATTCCAGATCTGACGAAAGGTCCGAGCCGTCAGAGACTGATGCAGGTAATGGTTCTGATGTATCCACAGTTACACCATTGCTGGCGATTTCTGTATATAATCCTGCTTTCGTGTATGCTCGTACTTTTGTTGTGAGTTCGCTGCCGTCTGGGATTGTTGCAATTGTTTTGCTGAACGAGACGTTCAAGTTTACATTTATAAAGCCCTGTACTTCAATTTGATTGTTAGAAGACTGTGGTTGGTACTGCATAGCGACTTCGTACTTTCCAATACCGTAGGTTGATTGAAACCCTCCCCATGACGCTCTGAACGACGTACTTGATTGATACTGAATATCAATAGAGCCTGCACCATCATACACCCAACCACCAGTTGGCGTGCTAGTATCTATGGTAACCGGATTACTGCACACAGGTAAACCAAGTTGTTCACGAATATTGTCTGCCTGGACAACGACTTTATACGTGGCTATGTTCTCTAAATTAAGGCCGACGAGAATATGATTATTTGAGTTGGAAGAAAGTGTTGCATTATTTCGGTCAAGGTTGCACTTGTCTTCAGCTTTTATTAAGGACCATCTAACAGTGAGTGAACCACAAGTGACAGAAAAGCCGCTGAGTTGGAGATGTAATTTGTCTGTGCTTGACTGGAATACAATAGTTGTCGCGAAGCTTGAAAGTGTTAGACTTGCCTGACCTTCATGAAGATATATTGGGTTCATAACTGCTGGTGGGCATGTTCCTATTACGCCGTTGCATCTATGGAAATCAGTAGTGTGTGGAATTAGTACGATATTGCGATGAATTGCATGACAATCTTGTGATTTTTCCTAATACTTCCATCTCAATTTCTGCCAATGACTGTATCTCTACTTATACGCACCTACGATTACAAATCTAAATATTCTGCCATATAATCTTGAAAGGTCTGTGCGAGTGTAGGTACGTAGTGCAAATAATAACAAGCTGTCGTTGTAGGGATGCAAGTCGAGTCAATTTGAGTCAATTAGGCCCTTCGTCGGAACGTCGAATTTCGCTTTGTGTTTTTCAGGTAGTTGCATCCCTACCAACGAAAGCTTGTTATACTCTGCTATAGGCAGTCCCACGTAATGTAAAGTTATAAATCGATGTGTTATTTAATAATGTCACACTCTTTGGACTAACTTGTCTGCTCTAAATGCGACAATAACACATTACCTATATCCATCCAGCAGACTACCTGGCTTCATGTTACCTACATGCTCTACCTACCCACTTACCTATCTATACTTATACCTGCATACCTTTATCAACCTACCTAACCGCCTACCCGCCTTCTTACCAACTTATGTACCAACCTGCCAACTTGCTTCCGAATCTACCAACCTACTTACCTACCTAACTATGTACCAATCTACAGCATATCCAACCCATCCTACCTATCTACATTTGAGAAATAGATAACATTTTCCGTGTTTCTATGCAGTTATAGAAACACGCGTGGGAGTTGGGGAGAACGAGAAATAATCAGCGGGAACACGAGTACGAAGGGTGAGTTCTTTCGAGTTTTCCCTAGTAACTACCACAAGTCTTTTACAACTGTATAGAAACACAGTGAAAAATGTTTCTATTTCTTTTATAATATATCTGAAGAAACCAGTTTATACCCATTCCCTATAATTCTCATTCCTTCAGCTTTGTAATGTTCGTGGTTTTGTATCAATATCAAGCACTTTTAAGTATAACAATAGATATCAAAAACTTGTACAAACAGCATAAAATCCAGTCGATCGGTTTGCCAGCATAACTTGTCAAGTTCTTTTTTTTTTAAACAAAGAATTCTTTTCTTGTCTTGTGGTTCCTTCATTTGGGTGTAAATTAAACTGGTGTTCTCAAATTTTTTTTCGATTTCAGAGTAACATCAGAAACATATCATTGTTTTGTTTACGTTTGAAATAAATGCTGCAACATAGGAAATTTCCCTTGTTTCTATACAGTTATAGAAACACGCCAATCAATGATCAGCCTATCCCTTAGGCTTTTTGCATATACTAGCGTACTATAAAATTTAATATTATAGAAAACAATATACATATCTAATCTGCTGATCTACTACTTATCCTACACAACAATTATCACTCATTACTATTATACAGTATGTTTATCAACAGTGCAAACTAGTCGCCTACCATTTACGCTGTTCAATATCCACCCATCCTCTTTCAAAATGCCTGACCTTTTGTAATCCGTGTTATGTTAGGATTCTGCTATGATTTGTTCTATTTTCTTACCTTTCTGATTGGTCACACTCGTCAATAGCTGAGCGACATATTGTCCCGTTGCTCTTCATTATATTTCTACATGTCCCATCACCAATACATTGAGAACTCTGTATACAACTGGACTGCGGATAGGATACTTGACAGCTGTATTCGGTACCCACACAGTAGCCATTTTGACAGAGGTCTTGCTTTGTGCAGGCGTTATTATCATTGCAAACAACTGATGGTCGGTTTGACCATGCGAGAATTGGTTTGGATGTGTTATCATATATGTCACACCATTGGCATTCATTACTTGGGTTGAGCTGTTGATGATTGTAGTCTTTTCCTAAAGAAATATATGTATAGGTAATCATGCGATGGTGAGTACAATTAGGGATTAATAGTACGAGTGATGTTTGGAAATTTTTGCAAATTTCCAAACATCACGAGTACTATTAATCCCTAATTGTACGAGCAACTTCGCATGATTACTTGTTTACTATTAGCATATGACGAAATTGTATACTTCTCCGTCAACATCATATTCTCTCGCCAAAGCCCAGTCCTGCCAGACTTTCAACCAAAATTTGGTACTTTCGTTCGTATTATCATTTAGTTCTTTTGCTAAAGCAAAATTTGGAGCTTTTGTTCGTATTTTCATCTAGTTCCTCAAGAGCAATTTCATTTCACATTCGCGTTCAAAATACCTTTCCGCCATTTTGTTTGTTTTGAGAAAATCATTAATTGTACTGCAGTACAATTAATGAAATAATTGTACTCCTCTCAACCAATCAGCATCCAGTAATTTTGTTATGCTAATAATAAAGATAGTTATATCTTTGGTATTTTAAGAATTTTATGAACTAAAACCCATCAGTTTAGGCAACTTTTTATGAGAATTTCCACATGTGATGTTTTATTGCTTCACTCGTTGAGATTGAAAAGAATGAAGTGGGCATTACAGAATGAATTTACTCAAACGAAAGAGACATTTTGAAACTTGCTATAAATGGGAGGTCAAATTAATGTGCGAACACCAAGAAAAGTGCAAGCACCATCTTCCTTCAATTCAAGTGCCTTCAAGTACTCAATCCTGGTTATATCGACAGTCTACTGTTATAGTATTATTATATGTGGAAACAAATTGAAGAGTTTCCGTTCTGTATTATAGAAAATGACAAAAATTTGGACGTGTCGAAAGCTAACGAAGCAAACAGGCCATTCAACACACAACAAAATCGAAACATTTCTAACGTTCAAAACTTGTTTTACACTAAAGTCCAGGTAATTCTTGTTGATTTTGAGCTTTTAGTCGTTGCTTTAACTACACCGTAACAACGGAAAAATCTATTTTTTCAAAGTTTATTATTTTCATTGCTGTAACTGGATCCGGTAACGAGACTTTATATCCGGCGAACGAGACGTTAGGCAGCGTAAATAGCTCCATTGGGAATTGGAAGCTTGATCAGTGTGTCGCTAGATTTTTCCCACAAAGCCCGCTCTATTATTTTATAATCTCTATGGCTTTAGTAGTTTAGGAAATCAACAAAACTGTTTAAGTTACATATCGATCTACCTGCTATTTTGCAAGTACATTTGCCTGTTATATATCCATAACCAATGTGTAAACTACAGCCACTACCATTACAGGACTGACAATCATTATTGCATGTAAAACTGATCCCTTCACATTGACCATTTTTACATGTGTCTGACTTTGTGCATCTGTGTCCGTCGTCGCATGAAACGTTATGCTTGCTTGTCCAAGTTGTAGTACTTACTTCAGGTAGACACCACTGAAAGATTAAAAACAGACGTTTTGGTAGGAAGTTCAAACATCATCGCCATCGATACTTAGTTATGGATATTTATTGCCCCGAAAATTGAATGCCTCCAAGTTGAGAATATAAAACTTGACCATACCTTCGTGAATACGATGTTTATTTTTGGATTAACGCAAGTATCGTCGCTTTTCTTTCGAATCACCTATCGTTTGGAATATTATTGACTTCGCTTCAAAATTTAAATTCGAATTTGCTTCAAAATTAAAAAAAAACTGTTTAAAATTAAAATTTAATTATTCATCACTCCTTGCTATTATTTTGTCGGCCATCTTTTGTCATGCGTGTTGTCTCTCGTGGTCTACGCGAATAATGTTCAACCCCATGCTTCTGGGGAACATGGGGTGGAACATTGTCAAAAGGAACGCATGCTTGCTAATTGATGACATAAGGCGTGATGTCGTGATTAATTTCGTGCTCACGTGCCACGAACTGAGCTTTCTGATTGGACAATTTGAAGTTGAGGTATAATATTATTATAATATATCACCGTGGATATTATAGTACCTCGCGCTCGCTCAGCTCGTACACCACGCGCTGAGATATGGCGTTCGTGCATGAGCTGTTGTTCGTTAATTTTGTATGAAATATTTATTGATTTAACTAAGGATTTTGAAGAGGTATGTTACCTTCAATGATCAGAAGGATACCCGCTAAATATTTTAATGATTAAAGAGAAAACATTAAAAATGCAGGTATAAATAAGAAATTAAACATTGTATTCGCTTAGTTATTCAACAATTTTATTCTCAACTTAGTGGGTTCTTTAACTTTCGGTATAATATATCATTTATAGACCCTCTGTGATGACATCATCACTTCGGGTAATATTTAGCCAATCTCCCTCGCTTCGGGTCTATAAATTATAAATATTGTCAATCTATAAGCCGTATGAGTATTTACAAATATTCTCATGCGCGGTATAACACTGCCAAAACAATTAAGTACACGCGTAGGAGTGTTTTATCAGATATAAAACGCAGCCGAGCGTTTTATATCTGATAAAACACGACTACAAGTGCTTTAAATGCATGGCTTAAAATAGACTACAAAAGAATACTAATTAGGATGAACCATTATATAATCATACTAATTAGGATGAACAATTATATAATGCCTCATGCTTTATCAGATATAAAGTCACTCCACGTGAGTATTTTAATGTAATTTATAATTCATAAATTATTAATTTAGTCAGAATATTTGAACGTATCATGAACAGCCATGGTCTTCAGACATGCCCCCACGTTTTGGTCGTTGACATGATCTCTCAAGTGTATAACTATAAGAACTTTTTGGAGGTTGCGATGAAGAAAAATTTGTAACTTGTATTTGTTTATTTTTTACTGGGAAAGTGGAATTCGGACCACTGCATGGGGATGGGATTTTCATATATTAGTATTTTGTTTCTGGGAAAGGGTTTCAGCAAATGTGTTGTCTGTCTGACTGGGAAAATGCCCTCCCTCTTTCACGACATCTTGTCGCGACATCAGATCAGCCTGACGAAGGCACCAAGTGTTTGTTTCTATGTTCCGGCTAGGCAGGACGAGACAGTTGCCGAAGTCCTACTAGTATACATATTATATTGTGGTTATATGACCCTACTTCCATCCCGCCTAGTCGGGATCCCTGCATCTGTAACTGGGATCCTCTATCCCGCCAACGCGGGACGAACTAGACTTCGAGCATGTATAAATGCCTTTTCTGCAAGAAATTATGACATCAAGCACTCTACCTGACATGGATTTTCTGGTTTTTCCGTATTAGCAGTAAAACATGTGTCGACATTGTTATAGTTAATGACGCAATAGCCAGTTTTTATTCGGCATGCGTCGTTGTGATGATCCTGGCATGGTAAACATGTAAATGGTTGTCCTCGGCATTCTCCGTTTGTGCAACGGTCATTTCTGGTCATTGTGTTGTTGTCACTACACTCAAGACTGTTATTTGGTGTCCATGTTGTGGGTTTGTTGCTGTTACATTCCTAGAAATGAATGCATAGAAAGAACTATATTAAAACATGCAGGTGTTTTAAGTTCTTTGTATGTTTGCATGGCGATAAAATATAATAGTTTTGTTTGTGGAACACCACGTACTAAATTTATTACTGCAAAGCTTTCGATCCGTAAGCCCGGATCTTCATCAGTGCTAATAATATGTGACTTGTTTAATTCACACGCTCTTTTTATATACAAAAGTGTCGTGATCTGTTGGCTCGCGTCATTTGAAATTTAATTAAACGGCACATCAACCACGTCATTTCAAACGAGTGAAGTGATTCCAATTAACGCGCGCGCATCCAAGACAAGCGGAATTAATTTTGCACATTAAAGAGAGCACGCCACGTACTATCTAGTGGCTTTCTCTCCTGATCTATAGTGTTGTGCTTCTCGATTTCGATTGACTCTCTCATTTTTGCGAGAGAACTTATGACTATCCATCGCCAAAATGGTTGCTTCGTCTCATTTTATACGATGGTCGTAAGTCCAAGCATGGATAATAAAATAAATGGATAGGAAACTAGCTGACGTGACCTAATGTTTTTACTGGGATTGATGGCGTGGTTGGATGCCTCAACCTAGTTGAAAATCAAATTCTCAAAAACGGCATGTTTATCAATAATACAGCTAAACATTTTAGTCAAAGAGCAAATAAATGTAACCACGCCATTCTACGATGAAAACTCTAAGTATTCCCAGTCAATTTTAGCAAATATTTCAAGCACTAAACAGTGAAAAATACATCGCAAATTTCGTTAAAATTTGTGACGCCAATTTCGTAGCTACAAATGTAAAAAAATTCAAAACAAAGACGAAAAACATTTACCTTGAATACTTTGTCGTGGCTTAGGCATGTTTTTAAAACAATTAGACCAGTTTACGCTTCAAGATCACCCTTTTAAAGTGGAAAATATAGCAAAACAACAAATATGCCGAGAACTTTGGTAACATTCGCAATACGCGTGACGTCACGTTTTTCAACAAGGATGCAGTCAATGACGTCAGAAGTTTCCAATCCATTTATTTTATTATCCATGGTCCAAGTATGTTTAGCCACAGCAGATTTATCTTGCTCGGCTTCCTCGCAATTCGTCTTGTGTTCCTTAAGACGTACTGAGAGATTTCGTGACCAGTTTCATCAATGTAAACCAGACCACATTCACAAGGAATGCGGTACACACCAGGTTTCTGAGATTCATTTACGTTGTCCTTATGTGTGCAAAGAGCTCAAAACAATTTGTTTTCGCTGGAATGCTATATATCTTTATACCTGCTTCATTCCTCAAAATTCTTTCGATTTTGTGTGAAGCCGGACCAATGTATGGTAGACAAACAGACGACTGGTATTCAATCTTCGGCTGTATACTTTGTGGCGTTTTCATAGCATTATGAAGTGATTGAAAGCTTTGCAGTAAACAAACTTTATAGTAGATACTGGCATGCTTGCCACAGGGGGCAGAAAAGTATGATTGTGTTTTATAAATACCTTGTCATCAACGAATATCCCATATTTATATCACAACAATCCGCAGACATAGTCATAAAAGGATCAAAATTAGCTGATTTTTATTTTTTCGATAATATCATGCCTTCTACTTCATGTAATTCAAACATATTGCATTGCAACGACTATTTCCGAACATCTTACGAAAGGATGCCGAGGGTGTAACCCGTACATAAATAAGAAAGGGATGAAACGCCGATCAATGTGCACCGCAACAACTGGTGACGGAAGTAAATTCGACATTGTAACCGGAAGTAGAACGGAAGTTGAAGGAAAATTGACCTATCATCTTCCATGACCTTTTAATCGAATTAACGGTTAATAATTTGAATGACAATAACAAATTTTAAAAAATATTGCGAAATTCAAACTCAAATTAGTCAAATATTAATATGGAACGTTTTGTCAACTAAAAGAAATGCGAATCAATCGATTCAAAAGCAACACACGCTCTTGTATCTAGATGGTATAAAGCTTTTCAATAATTTTAAAACAATTGTTCTTGAATCGATCAACCGTACGTGAATATATCCACGACTTTGAACTTTGTTTAATAATATGACTGTATAAATCCAAACGGCAGTCTTTACAAAACCGGTCACGATTTAAACTCGTCTTCGCCGTGTGTGCAGACTTAAGATATATCAATAGACTATTTAAATTCAAAAATAAACTATACATGCACTTATGGGGCGAAAAAAATGGCAGTAAATTTAAATAAACTCTGAAACGGTTTCGTTAAGGGAAGCCTCACATATCGATTTTGTCCACGAGAAACGTCATATGTTCGTTTCTCTGGAGACCCCCCCACCCCCCCTTAGAAACGTCACACATAGTTATCGATATTTTGATCTTATTGTAGTACACATAAGGTAATTTTCTACTATTTTTTTCGGTCGGCTATTGGCGATGCTTCCGCGAGGAATATGTCATCTTCTGCTGACATACTCTTTTTTTATTAATATATATGTGAACTTCAAAATTTCCAACGTTTCTCAAAACAACTTTTTTTGCATGAAATATTGATAATTTTAGCGCGTATTTCTTGAAATTTGAGTGTTTTCAAATGCAAAGAAGGCGTAATAATATAAATGTATAGGTATAGAACAGGTATGGTATTACGAATATATAGACTGCTGTTTGTATCAAATTGTTTTCTTTTTTATACTCTGCAAAGATAAAAACTATCGATTTTTTCCATGTTGTTTACAGAGAAACGTCACAGCTGCCAACCCCCCCACCCCCAAACGAACATATGACGTTTCTCGTGGAAAAAATCGATATGTGAGGCTTCCCTTCCCTAAAGTAATTTAAGAAAGTTAACTACTTCGAATGTAACCTAGTTTCAAGGCATTCATTACGTTTCTTAAAACAAACGAAAAGAAATTTTGAGAAAATGTTGAGCAAATCGGGATTATTTGATGACAATATGTTTAGTAAGTCATCAGTTGTTAGGAAATTTAACGGTACATGAAAGTCATTTTGTAGAGTATTTGTTAAATCATTTCTTTGTTGTTCATAATATTTACATGAAATTAGTGTGAAGTGATATTCATCTTCTATTTCATTGGTGTCGCAGTACTCGCACAAACGTTGTTCACGGGGAGTTTTGTTGTATCGCCCGGATTCAATGTGTAGTTTATGGTTACAAAGCGAATACAATAGAATCAAAAAATGCGAACACACTTTTCTTCTTTGGACATTTGAGATGAGAAATATGATATTTTGGGAGCTCCTGAGTTAAGCGGTCTGTCGTTAAATCTCGTGGCGCAAGAGGTGCGATTTTACAAAAGATGTCTCATTGCGGCTACAGGTTAAAAGGTGGTGAATTTTAGTTAAAACAGTAGCTTCAACAGTTAGTTATCATTGCATGTACCAACAAAAAAACTGAGCACGCAGTGACAATTTTTCTGAAACAGGAATCTATCATTTGATGTAACCTCAAGAGAAAGAGCCCTGGTTCCGTTGAAGAGGAAAGAGATTGGCAGTAAATAGATCAACACAGTCAGTCTCCAGTGACAGTTGCATGGACCAGGCACATGAAATGATTTATAATAATAAACTTGATTTAAAGAAGGTGCAATTATACAAAAAAAAAACAGTTTAGCAACGCTAATCTTACACTGGGCCTATATACTAATTATATCTACCAAAATTGTTCAAATCTAACTTCCTTATATATACTTAAATTAAGGTGGTCTTACACAACGCAAAGTGGTGTTTTGAGTGAAATTTGCCATTTTTCAAAAATGGAAAAAATTACAAACTTTAAACCCTATTTAATCATATTTGTATCATTCTATTGCTCAAAAATACATAAAAAACCTGGGGGTAATTTTCACAAATAAGTCCAGGGAATGTTGTTGTGTTGTATGTCTTTCAACAAAGGCTACATGCAACACCAAGACACTTTTATTATACGCAAAACATTCTTTTTCCGATAATATAATATATACCGCGTATTTGGTATGGAATTCCCAAAATTACCCCCCCCCCCCCTGCACTTGTGCTATTATAATTCTATACTTTTCATCCTAAACATCAAATGTACTTTGACCGACTTTGACGTACGTGTTGTGTTTTTTTTATCAAACTTTTGGTTGATGTTGCTGAATCTGAGGAAGCCAATCATTTAATTAGTTTTCTAATTCGCATTCCATCGCCAATATATTGTGGTTAAATATACATTTTGTAATAATTTTGTAACATCAGTTGCCACGTTACACAATTCTTTCTTAAAGCATACGTACTCTGCATGACTGAAGAATTTTAATTTTAATGAAAATAGAAGACAATTTAATTAGTTCCATAAAGTGCTCTATTGTAATTTTTCCAGCAAAATAATTGACTTACGCAACTAATTGCTGAATATTTGAAGGTTCAAAATAGTTTTGTTAAATTGTTCATTTGTATACATGGAAAACTGGAATATCTAAGTGACAACATACAACAATTTTCTCATTTCCCTGCTGCGTGGATAATTGTATGTCTACGTTTTCTAACAAAAATTCGCGTGCAAATTTTATGCAGAACAATTTTTGATGCATCAAATTACCCTTCCATTTATTCTAACTATTTTGCAGCAAAAATATTGGTATGTATATTAACAAGACAATTACAGATATCTTTATATTGCTTTAAATAATTTGACTAGTTTTTCTTAATCAGGGCCATTCCTAGCGCGATAATTGGGGGAGGGGGTATATATTCATATATTCGTGTTCTGCCCGACGGATTTCTTTTGAAAGAGATTGTTTTTACGGTATGTGAACATGAATATATGACTATACACCCCCTCAATTATCGCGTCTAGGAACGGCCCTGTTCTTAATGTAAATACAAATTTTCTAAAAAGAGAACAAGTAGGGACTCGTTTCGAAGTTTAAATCGCGTATTATACAGGGTGTATCAAAATAAACGCAATTCATCTTTTGTGCTTGATAACTTTCTAAATACTATTTCTAGTTAAATACTTTTAGG